ATATCAAGCTATTCTAATTATGTCATTTGTGACACATCCACCCATTAACATGTTCACAAAGTGTCGGCGAATTGTCTGTTGGCAAATTGTCTATTGGCAAATTGACTGTCAGCAAAACGTCCTATTGCCAAACTGGCGAAATGTAGTGTCGGCAAAATCAAGTGTCGGCGAATGGTATTTCGATCAATATTTTGTCGTACAATCAGGATAGTTACTGACACTGGTCACTTAATGTGCAGTACTCAAATGTGCACGGCACAATAGAATTTGTTATTACAATACCTCATAAATAATAATTGGGTAATAAATACATGTCGATTAAATTGGCAATTGTCGAAAAAAACTCCTCAGACATTGACAACGAAATTGACTTCAGGAAAAAAAAAGACTAAAAATAGAGCCTTTTACATCAACTCAAGATTGTAGACAAGGATTGCCTTCAGATTTTTATTTTTCCCCCGATCGAAACAATCACACTTCAACACAAGTGGTCCGACGTTCATACATAAATCCGGCTTTCACGTGCCCAGACGTTCATTCGGCGCATTAAACTAGAGATCAGTGAGTCCATGCAATATCATGCAGATTTTATTTTGTTCAAATTATTCCCCTTCCACATAAAGTTCTATTGAAGTCTGAAATACCCCATAATGTAGGAGGACGTGGTGGCTTCACCGGGACCCAACGAAGACCCAGGCCCCAGCACCGCTGGCTAGTCTCTGGATCGACAATAATGACTTTCTCAGTCCGCCACTGATAATGAAAAAAAGTTTGATTGGTAAGATAAATACTGTGATATCTCTATCTTAAATTTTCTTTCAGTGGTGATGGTACATTCAATGGCGACACATGGGATTATAGCATGGGATGGTGTTATCACACCGGAGCTCAACTCTTTTTGGGCGATTTTAACGGTGATGGTCGTACTGATTTGCTGTGCCACGATACCACTGGCTACAAGTGGGTGGCGTTGGCCAGTACTAGTGGTACCTTCTCGAGTACATCTTGGGAAGCTGGTTTGGGATGGTGTTGGCACAGTGGTGCTCAATTGTTCATCGATGATTTCAACGCAGATGGTCGGAGTGACATGTTGTGCCATGATGGTTCCGGGTACAAGTGGATCTCCTATGCCAATCAAGATGGAAGTTTTCCGGGGACAAGTTGGGAACGAGCGATGGGTTGGTGTTTCCATAGTGGTTCCCAGCTATTCACCGGTGATTTCAACGGAGACAGAAGGGCTGATTTGCTCTGCCATGACTCAACGGGATACAAATGGGTGGCGTTAGCATCCTCGAGTGGCACATTTACTAGCACGTCGTGGCAAAGTGCTCTTGGTTGGTGCTACCATAATACCGCAAAACTTTATATCGCCGACTTTAACAAGGATAAACGCGCCGACATGCTCTGCAGTGATGGTAATGGTTATAAATGGGTAGCATTTTCTACACCTGCCGGTTAAATAATACTGAGTGTAAATTATCTGTCTCTTATACACATCTAGATGTGTATAAGAGACAGGCTGTTGGTCGCTGATGTGAATGGTGATGGTGGTTATGATTTGTTGTGTCACAGGCCGTCCGATGGATACAAGTGGGTTGCCTTAAATGCATATCAATAAGATTGGAACATTTTTGAGTTACGGATTTTTGTTGTTTCTAAAATTGTTATTGATATCTGGGGTATTTTTGTCTTAACTTAGTTTTGGAAAGCACTGTTACATTGCACTAGCAAACACTGATAGTAATTGTTACTATTATTATTATCGTCATCATCACCATCATCATCAGCACATTCACTATCATCATCATCATCATCATCATCATCATCATCATCATCATCATCATCATCATTATTATTATTACTAGCATTATTATTATTATTGTTGCTGTTAGGCCCTATAAATAATGTAGTTTATCACCCTAAAAACTTCAAAAATATTTTTCTCAATACCATAGAAGGCATGCGCAGGAGGGTTATTGGCCTTATTAATATTATTGTTATTATTCTACTAACCAATTGGTTGGTCTCTTTAAGAGGGATACTGAAAAAATTGCTGTTGCTAATGAACTATTGGACCGGACTACTCTCATGAAACAATGTTGAATATGATAATTAATAGAATTGTCTAATGATATCCAGAAAGTTGCCGAATATAGCAATCAGCTATACATTTTATGCCAACATTTCATTCAACAATAAATCGACCATTATTCTGCCCCACCATGACAAAAGGAAGCAATTGAAATTTGAATTGTTTTGAGTAAATTAAGGAATAAACATTTGTATTTACATCATCTTCTTTAACTATGCATAACCTCTTTTCTGAGTACAGTATAATGTATTTACTGTTAGTAAATAATAAATTATTTTTATTTGCAAATTCAGTTTGCTAAATCTTATTGTTATTATAAAAATGACATAATGATTGTTCTAAGTATTTTTATTACTAGATACCGTACGATTCCTGAGGCGGATTGCTATAAAACAGGTAGTCTTAAACAGGTTTATCACATAGACCGTAATGCGATAGTCTACAGTTCGCCGTTTGGGACGTTCGCTATTTTGTCGATAAAATACCATTTTGTATCGACAAAATGCTATTTTGTCGACAAACTGTATTCTGTTACCATGATTACCATGATTTTGTAAGACAAAAAAATATTTATGTAAGGCAGAATTTATATTGTCACCACAAAATTCTATTCTGTATACAAAAAGACGTTTGTAGGAGACAGAATAATTTTTTTCGACAGAAGCACCTTTTGTGTGAGACAGACGAGTTTATATGCCATTGGCCCTACTACAAAACATTTGTCACATAATACACTTCTTTCTTTTTTCAAACGCTAAGTAGACTGTCGTTAACGTTACCCAGGGGGAACCACGAGGAGGTGAATGCCGGACTTAACCCCCCAAAAATTAATTCTGTCTTACAAAATAGCATTTTGTCGACAAAATCATCATTTTATGGTAACAGAATACATTTTGTCGACAAAATAGCATTTTGTCCCAACAAAATGCTGTCTTAACAACACGCTATTTTGTCGACAAAATAGCGAATGTCCCAAACAGCGCCCCGATATAGTCAACCCTGTAGAGATAATTGCTTTATAAAACAGCCTTAACTAAGATCGCGTCGAGTATTGAAAGCTAGCAATTATTATTATTATTTTATAGGATTTATATAGCACACATGCCCAGAAGACTGCTCAAGGAACTTCTCCTCCCCTCCTCTCCCCCTTGCCTTATGTGTACCAGTGCACGAAGAGAAGTATAACTAGCAGCTACGCAATTTAAAGATAAATTTGTTTTTTGATTGTTTTCTTTAGCATATCAGACGGTTCTTCAATTAACTGATAATAATACTGATATAATGATGATATTGCTGAGAGTTATGATAAATGTGATGATG